ATGTATTTCACAGGTTTCACAGTGGGTTGCACCTTGGAGGGCATCTGCTGCGTAAAACATATGCTGAACAAGTTGGCGGTTCATTCCGCTGTGGTAATCCAGATTAATAAAGCTGAAAAGATAATGAATGAATGAAACGATTGCATATAAATTTGTTTTTGTTCCAGTCACATACATTAAATGTTTAAATATCTATTAAATATTATGGTACTGCTTATATTATTTCACCATCAGGAGACCAATATAAGTAGTGAATGTGCGTATCCGTGCATGGGGCTGTGTCAGTGTGGTAATGTGGGCTGGTGTGTCTACAGTGCCAGGACTGATTTTTAGTCCCAGTCCGCCCCTGTGTATCAGAGTTGCAGCAATGTTTTGTCAGCTTGACATTATATGAGAAAATGGTTGATGGTCACCTAGCGCATCCCTCATTGTTATATTTGTGTTTTTGTCTGTCTATACTGAAAAGAAAACCAGTGTTTCCAAGCTAAAACGCGGTCGTTAGCATTCCCAAAACAATCAATTTCATGAGTAGGATAAACCAGAGTAGTGAGGACACCAGGGATAACCACATTAAAATCTATGCATATATTATTAAAACGAAAATGTACCTGTCTAAATGACACCTATGGCAGTATGGGTCCAAACCTCCATGTTGTTTATGCCAAATTCTGGAAATAATATTAATATTGTATATAAAATTATTGTAGCAGAAATCAACTCTCATCAGACCAAGCAATAAGTTTTCAATCTTCTATAGTGCAGTTTTGGTAAGCACCAGCACTCTAGCCTCAGTTTTCTGTTCTTAACTAAAAAGAGTGTCGCCAGTGTGCTTTTATGCTGCTGTATCTCATCTGCTTCAAGTTTTAGCATATTGTGTGTTCAGATGTGCTCTTCTAAAGACCTTTGCTATTTCAGTTATTGTGGGCTTCATTTCAGCTAAAACCATAAGAATGATCTTGACATTCTTGGGATCTCTGGCATCAACAAGGCATCTTGTTCACTGAACTACTGCTTGCAGAACAAAAATTATCTGTATTTAAATGTCATGTTTTGTCTGGTGCAAACAGCCAAACTGCTTATGACACAGGGTTGCAATGTAACCTGCTCACCTACTGTTTACGTTCCTAATATTTATGTTATTAGCTAATAACCACCTCATGGGGAACTCTGTATCTGCGTCTCATTTCGGAGTCTGCTACTGTCCAATGGAGGTTGCAGTTCGATCACAGACACATACTCTGAGCACCTTTATGTTCGAATGAACTAAATAAGCAATTTTCCACCAAGGCAACACAGGGTGCTGAAATGTAATTGGCTTAAGTGGCATTGGGCGGGTTAAAGGAACCAAAACAAAGAGACATTTTGACACGTAACACACATTTTCAAAGTAGAATATCTGACTTTAGCATTATTTTTCAGATAAAGAATTTTTACTTAGCATGTTTCTTAAATGTCTACAAAACACATTATGCTAATTTTATGCTTTAGAAAAGTAAAAAAACTTACATACAGCACCTTTAAATAAAAAATGACTTTTACATTTTGAAAATATGTATGATTACCGATACAGGACTCAGTAAGTCGTAAGTTGTCATTCATTCAAAACATAGCCCAAATTTAGTGGAAAGGTGCTCCTCAGAGAGCCAGATTGAGCACTGCTTATTTAATTTCTCCTGGGTTCATTTGTCAGTTTTGGCACCGGCAGCCTGGGGTCTTTGGGCAGGGCTTTGAAAGTCAAAATAAGTGTGTTTACACAGTCTTCCTTTCAGCCTTCCATTATATCCTTGACTGGAGTAAAGAGTGTCCTTTCACTCGCTCTAGATGGCTTAATTAGGCCCATCTTCCAATTAAGCAGCGAACTTTGCCAGATCCTGACCTCCAGTCTGTCCTGGAGTAATGAGGACTACCCAGTAACGTGCTGTCTTTACACACACGCACACTCTTTCCCTCACTATATGTTTAAAAGCTGCTTGATTTAACGAGAGAGAAAGAGAGAGAGGAAAGAGGATAGAATGCAAATGGTAGCTCTGAGAACTTTGAGAAAACACAGTAATCCCCGTTCTCACACCACACTGTTTTTGTAAACAGAGATGCTTTGATTGACTGCCCGTGGAGCGCCAACATCAGAACTATTTATATTTTTTGGGGATTTTCAAATCAAAAAGCTGATGCTTAAAGTTCTCGGCCGAATCTCAGTCGATTACCGTGAGTCGTTGTTTGATTACAGCACCAAATTTTATTTATTTTGATTGGCCGCGCCTGTGAGGCTTCTCCTCTCCTTCTTGTGAATTCCAGAATCTTCATTTATTTCTCGCCTAGAGAAAAGCGCAGAGCATTGAAATTGTTTTGTTGTGAAGTTTGTCATTTAAAAATAATTAAAACGGTTTCCGTCTGGGTAAAAAAAAAAGCAATTAAAGTTGCTTTGTAGCATGTCAAAATTAAAAGGCATTGACACATTTGTTGCTATGTTTTTTTTTGATGGAATGGACACTTTCAGTTTAGAATGGTTGGTTGAGTTGGAATGGAAACAGTCTGGTTTTATTCTAAAATGTTTTTTTTTTTTTTCTGTACAGAGAACATCTTTAAAACGCAGCTTCAGTATTAGAATGAACAAGTAATCACTTTTTTGGATGGCCACAATTGTGTAGACTAATTCATTGGCAACACTTACAACACATTGAATGATTTTGTTTTTACGCCTGCATTAAGCGTTGTAAAACATTAATTGATTGAGTTTTTTCTTTCTCTAATAATAATTTTCTATTTATTGGTATACTTTTTAAATTGATTGAATGAAATACACAATTTTCCACCAAGGCAACTCAGGGTGCTGAAATGTAATTGGCTAAACTGGTATTGGGTGGGTTAAAGAGACCAAAACAAAGAAACGTTCCAGCACGTAATGCATGTTTTCAAAGCAGAATGTCTGACTTCAGCATTGATTTTCAGATAAACAAGAATGTTCACATGTTTTTACGCTTGTATTAAATGTTGTAAAACATTAATCGATTGAGTTTTTCAATGTAATTTTCTATTTATTGGTATACTTTTTAAATTGAATTAATGAAATACGCAATTTTCCACCAAGGCAACCCGAGGTGCTGAAATGTAATTGGCTAAACTGATATTGGGCGGGTTAATGTAAACAATCTGGTCTTATTCTAAAATATTTTCTTATTTTTTGTACAGAGAATGAGTCATTTATAATGCAGCTTCAGTATTAGCATGAATAAGTAATGACTTTTTTGGATGGCCACAATTGTGTAGATAATTTATTGTAGACTAACTAATTTATAGTGTTGTAAAACCTTAATCGATAGAGTTTTTTTGCTTCTTTAATAATAATATTCCATATAATTTTCTATTTGTTTGTATACTTTCTTTTTAAGTTTTTAGATAAATTGATATTTTTAAACATAAAGGATTTAATTTCCTTTTCATCCGCAATCAAATAGCTCTAAACAATGATTTTCTGTCTTCTGTTGAACGCAAAACAAGACATTTTGAAGAATACTTGGAAAAAAAGCAGCCATTGACTACTTTTACATGGACATCAGTAATCAAATGATTTGCCTTAATCTGAATAAGACAATAATAAGATTAAGGCGTTTACATGAGTGGCTTTATGAATCAGGGCTCAACAATAAGGTCTGCCCGAGGGCCCGGGGCCAGCGTGTGAGGCGCTCAGGAAAGTAGACAGGATTGTTTCTATGTAATGGGGAAAAAACCTCAGCGTTTCTGATGCAGGTGTCTGTGGTCTGTGCAGAGAATGATGTCAAACAGCCTTGTGTGTATAAACTATCCTGTCGCAAAATGCAGCAAAAATCCTACACAACAGTAATAGTTTGATTGCTGTGTTTACATGTCTGTACTGCACTTCAAAAATGCATCTAAATTGGGCATACTCCACATGTCTTAATCTGATTTCTGTTTAGTTCAATTATGACTTTAGTCAGATTAAGGTCATCAGAAATCGCTGTTTACAAGGTACATTCTTAATCAGAGTATTGTCTTAATGATATTGAAATCGGATTGTTTATGTTGCATGGCCGTCCCTGGAGAAGAAGGCAACATGTTGTTTTTCCCCAAAATCTCTATGTACTTTTTAGCATTAATGGTGCTATCACAGAAGTGCAAATAACCCTTGACAAGGGCACTGACACAACCCCATACCATGACAGACCCTGGCTTTTGAGCTTGTGTCTGGTGACAGTCTGGATGATCACAAACCTAATAATACAATCAATTATTCAATATTTTTATCATAAAGTGGTCATTTAGTTCACACTTACAAGTTTGTAGGTACTTGTTTGCTTATGAAACAAGCCACACAATCTAAAACAGTACAAGATCTTCAATGTGCCATTTAGCGCTTCAAGATGCGCCAGACATTCTTTATTGGAGACAGGTTGGGACTACAGACAGACCAGTCAAGTACCTGTATCCTCTTTCTTGGCAGCCAGGACTTTGTAATGTGTGCAGAATGTGGTTTAGCATCGTCTTGTTGAAATATGCATGGGCATCCCTGGAACAGAAGCCAGCAGATTGCGCTCCAAACTCTCTATGTACTTTTCAGCATTAATGGTGCCATCACAGAAGTGCAAAGTACCTTTGCCAAGGGCACTGACTCAATCCCATACCATGACATACCCTAACTTTTGGATTTACGTTCTGGATGATCACAAATCTTAAAATACAATTAATTATTCGCTTCTTTTTTTATCATAAAAGTGTCAGTTCACACCTATCAGTTACTTGTTTGCATACAAAACAATCAAGACAATCTATTAAAATATATGAGTATGTATGAGTCTAGTCACTTTCCCATTGTCATTTACCACAATTAGCAGTAGCTGTATTGGTAATCTTGATTAATTGTGCTTCTCTAATACCCAGAAACCTTTCTGTCAGTCATCAGGAATGTGACTTTCTTTTTTTTCTCACCCAGATAAATATTTCATTGTCTGTGGCCTTACTGTCTTCTGTTGTGCTCTTTCCAGATAAAATCATCCGCCACAGGGCCTGCAGTTTGAAGGACACTGCGCACGCCATGATCGCCTCTGAACTGGACCCCGAGTTTGACCGCATGTGCGAGGAGATCAAGGAGTCCCGCAGGAAGAGAGGTGACAAGACACTTCAGGCTGTCCTTAGGCCAGGGTTTCTTTGAGCTAGAATGAATCCTCAGTTCAGATATGCAGGGAAATGCTAATTCAACCGTCCGTGACCTTAAAAAAAACTAAATCGATATCAATAAGAGTCAAAATTGTGAAGTATAATAAGAAGTAAAAACACAGACGTTTTTAGATATAGAAATAGATTTAGCTCTAGAAAAAATTTAATACTTTAGATATAAAGAAATATACCCAACAAGCGTTTTTTGTTTTTAAAAGATGTCTAATAGACGTCTAAACATGTCTTGGCTAAAACAAGGCTAAATTTGAGCTCTCAGTGAAAGTCTAATAGACAACTAAGAAATAGAAAAGCTATATAATGTAAAATATTTTTAAAATCTTAGCTATACAAACACAAAATTATTATTACTCTTTTTCAAATATTTCCCAAATTAAGTTTAATGGAGCAAGGATTTTTTCATAGTATTTCCTAAAATATTTTTTCTTCTGAAGAAAGTCTTTGTTTCATTTCGGCTTGAATGAAAGCAGTTTTTAATTTTATTAAAAATATTTAAAGGACAATTTTATTAACTCCTTTAAGTAATATTTTTTTGATTGTTTACAGAACAATCTACTGTTATACAATGACTTACCTAATTACCCTAACCTGCCTTATTAACCTAGTTAAGCCTTAATATAATTGCACTTTAATTATAGATATAGAAACATAATTATAGCTATACAGTCTAAGAATCTAAGTTGTGAAGCATTAAAAGTAAAAACAGACAATTTATTGATGTAGAAATAAATGTTATAGCTATAAAATATAAGCAAAATATAAAATGTTTAAAACTTTTGATTTGATGAATGTAGCTGTAGAAAATACAAAAATATAAAACTATCGTAGCTATATACAAGCAAACATAAAAAACTAAAAAGTGTTTCTAAGAATATGAAATATTCTGAAGTATAATAAGAAGTAAAGACACAGACATTTTAGATATTTTAGAAGAGCAAATATATAAAATATTTAAGACTTTAGACATGAAGAACATAGCTATAGAACAATATATAAATAAATCTTAGCTATACAATCTGAGAATCTAAATCAGACAATTTTAGATTTATACTTAAAAGTTATAGCTATGGGAATTGGAACAAAATATAAAAATGTTAAGAAATTGTAGCTTTACAAACAAAGGTAAAACACATACAAGTGTTTCTAAGACTAACTTATGAAGTATAATAAGTAAAAACACAGACTATATTAGATATAGAAATAGAAGTTATAGCTAAAGAAAGTAAGACCAAAAATAAAATATTTAACATCTTAGATATGAGTAATAAAGCTGTAGAACAAAAAAAATATATAAAAAATTCATAATTAAACAAATAGGTAAAGAAAACCTTTACAAGAATTTAAATTATGAAGTCTAATAAGTAAAAACACAGATAATTAACAATAGAAGCTATAGCTATAGAAAATAAGACCAAATATTGAATATATAAAACTGTTTATTCAGTAGCTGTAGAAAGTAGAACAAAATATAAAAATTTGAAATATCAAACCAAGTCTGAGCTATATAAACAATGTAGAAAATAAGAGTTTCTAAGAATCTAAATTATGAAGTCAAATAAGAAGTCAAAACACAGAGATTATTATATAGACCACATATAAAATATATAAAACTTTAGACATGAAGAATATTAATGTGTGTTTAAAATATAAAAATATGTAAAAAAAAAAAAAAAAACCTAGCTATACAAACAAATGTAAAAAACAAAGAAGTGCTATAATAAAGAGCATGCTGCATAGAGAGGAAAGAGTGTATCCTGCAGGTGGTTTGTCAAGCCCACTCACCTGCACAACAAATGGCTAAAAAGAATAGTTGAATCAAACTATTTAATAATAATATTAATAATAAATAATAATAATAATAATAACAATATATGTTTTTATTTGTAAAGCACTTTTCCTACACACATGCAGCTCAAAGCGCTTCACAAACAAATATAACAAAAAACCTTCATTATCAGGTAAAATGTATAAGCAACAAATATATACTCAGATAAATGCAAACATGTGTACACAAGTATATATTACTTTACACACACTCACACCCAGCGGTACATGCATACAAACATACACAATTTACATGTGTACATAAAATGCATATACTTCACATACTATTATATTCATAAGCAATTCTAAAAAGTTATGTCTTAACACTAATGCTGAGAAAATGTAATGTCTAATAACTTGTCAATTGCAATGCCTGTTATTTTTGACAATTTATTTATTTTACATTAAGTTATAGTCATGCAAAAACCCTAATATTTCAAATTTTGATATTATTTGTTTTATTAAAACCCCATTTTAATAGTAGTTTTGTTTCCAAGTGAGCTTAATATTATTAAAAAGAAACATAGTATATTAATGAACACATTAATGTGTGTGTACATATATTGGTATTATACATATTTATATGCATGCAAATAAACTAACAACTCATCAAATGTGCATGAATAATTAATGTACATATCCTTAAGAGGTCTATGCAGTTTCTTTTAGAAATGTATGCAAATTGGACCTCAGGCCTAGATTTCAGCATGCTTGCTTGCCCCTTATTTAACACCCATCAGCACTAACATTTGTCTCTGGGTTTAATCCTTCAAAAGAAATGTAATGGTTTAAAGAAAGAAAGCGACTTTTATTCAGAAAAAACATACCGCACTTCACATTAAATGCTTTTGCGAGAGTCTTGGTGGCAATGACATCCCCTGGCACCCTTTAATCACCAGGGGGCTTTCTTTTACGAATGATTTACCGCAGATTCCTGTAATTCGTTTCTTTTTGTGTCTGCTGTAATGAAAATCTCGCACGGCCTCCTTCTGGGCCACCCCTTGGTTTCTTTTCATTTTGCTCTGGTTCAGTGTTGAACGAATATGGTTGGGGTAAAAAAAAAAAAAAAAAACGACCTGCTCTAGAGAAGTGCTGCTGAATATTTTATATGGTGCAGTGGAGAAGTTATGGGTATCGGTATTGTAATGTGTTAGTTTGAGACTGGGCTGCATCAGAATTAAAGACCACCGTCAAATGGCTCGACTTGTTTCCCATTCAATGTTGATGTATTTCCTGTTAAAAAAAAAAGGAAATTGGGACTTTTAAAAAAAAATGTCTCCCAAGTTCACACCAAATCTATGAACACAAGTCACGACTACAAAATATTGCCAGTCTGACTTAGGGCTCTAATATGTTTATAGCAAAGTTCTTTTTCGCTCTTCATTTAGAGGTGAAGAATATGTTCAAAATAAATATTTTAGCAGTGAATTAGAAATTAAAAGAAGAGCCACACTTACCAATTATGTAATCAGACTACCAGCCAATGGGTTTTTTTTTCCCTTAATGTAAAGTGGCAAAACTGTTTTTAACACCTTAATCAATTTTTTTATCATGATGTTTTTGTCTGTAACATCATTCTGGTTGTTTTTTAAATTTTGCTTAAAATCAGGGTCTTTAGAGGCTATTGAAGTGAAATGTAAATATACTTTGCATATTTTTACCCTCAAATTTATTAACACACTGGTGCAATATATATATATATATATATATGCCAGTCATCATAAATACCTATTGGAACCCGCATGGATCCAAGATTCTTAGAGAAATCAGTGAAGTTTGGTGAAGGAACAATCATGGTTTGGGGTTACATTCAGTATGGAGGCATGTGAGAGATCTGCAAAGTGGATGGTAACATCAACAGCCTGAAGTATCAAGACATTTGTGCTGCCCATTACATTACAAACCACAGGAGAGGGCAAATTCTTCAGCAGGATAGCGCTCCTTCTCATACTTCAGCCTCCACATCAAAGTTCCTGAAAGCAAAGAAGGACAACGTGCTCCAGCATTGGCCAGCCCAGTCACCATATAAGAAGATATGTTGAAGAAAACTGAAAACCATTGACCTCCATAATAGGTAAAAACAGAGTCAGTGGAAGTCAATGGTTACAGGTTTTCAGCATTATTTAAAGTATTTACTTATGTGCTTAAAAGAACTAAAAAGTACCAAATAAACAATTGTAACAAATAAAAGGTGAGTAAATGATGGCATCATTTTAATTTTTAAATGAAATGGGTGACCAATATTAAGTTTTTACAGAGAAAATAATTGCCAAAGTGTATTTTTTCATGTTTTATGATCACTAGCATATAGATTACCCTTAACGCTAACAGACTTATTCTAAAAGCCACAAAAGCTGATTTAATGGGGTCTTTAAAAAGGTCCCAACAGTGTGATAAAGCCCAATACTACAAGTCTTTATGATTTTCTGGTCTGTAAAATCCTGACTCGAATCTCTTTATAAATGTAACTATATGATTTTTTTTCCCTTCATGTTAGCATCTGGCAGGCTAAAATGCGATTCCTTAGAACAAGATGATGATCCCCCAGTGAGCGAGCATTTTTCTAAAATCTCCTGGAGGCAGCCATGTATTTTCATGTACAAAATCCACTTATGCTGTCTGAGAGGAAATAGTGTGAAACTATGAAGACATCTTTTTATTGTTAGTGTTTTTTTGCGCTGAAACCAAACGAAATTACATAATGATTAGAAAATAATTAAGAGCTTATTTCCCTCTGTTAACCAGCATACCAGCAAAGAGAAGAATAAATCTGATTCGCTCTGCACTTTTTAATATAAATATCTTCCCTGGAAAAATTATTACACCACATTTGCAGTTTCCAATTAGTCCATCCTTCTCATGTTAAGTATTATCCATTAATTTTCCTTTAGCTTAGTCTTTATTTTTTAGAGAACGCCTCAGCGGAATGAACCGCCAACTATTCCAGCATATGTTTTACGCAGCGAATGTCCTTCCAGCTGCAACCCAGTATTGGGAAACACCAAAGACACCCATTTATACACACACTCTTACATTATGCACAATTTAGTTTATTTAATTGACTTAAAGCACTTGTCTTTGGACTGTGGGGGAAATCGGAATTTTGACTTTTCATACTAAGTAAGATCTTATATTTGGGGTTATTTTACCTGGAAAAGTAACATTTTATTCTTGCTTAATTACACATCTTAATAAAAATAATTTCCTCCTCAATTCCAGCCCTCCTTATAAAATTATATACGTCACTTATTAATCATTACATAAGACATTATTAGTATTCAGTGAGATTGATGTGCTTTGGAATGTGATGATCATAAAATATGAACAGAATATTGACTTGCATAGTAATTATACACGCACTGAGAATATTAATGAGTAATGGTTAAGCACTGCTGCTGGAATCACTATAGCCTGTTCAGTTGCATGTGGTGTCTGGACGTTTAAGAGAATTTGGACTGAAAGGCCACTCTGCCGCAAACAAACCTCATCCTTCTTATTTTTGATTGTTGGAGCCTTCGGAAGTCTTTGTCGTAATCTGTCGTAACAAAATAACCCATAAGAGTGTAAAGATCAAAGTAGCTTATTGTACATTTACCTCTCGTTGTTATCAGGAGAGGCAGAACAAATTTATAGTTTATTTATTTATTTATTTATTTATTTATATCTGATGACCAAATTTTGGTTTGAATAAAGTTTAATGTGCCAGCCAGTTTGTAATTTGCATAATAAATGACACTACTGTTTTTAATTTTAAAGAAGTTCTAAATTATTTGTTTTTCAAGTGTTTTTCCTCAAGTTTGACTATAATATGCATATACACATTTTTTAAAAGCACAAAAGATAAGTAAATATTTTGTATATATTTCTATTGTCTGTCATATCGTTAATACCAATAAAAACCATGGAAAAAAAACATGCAACAGACACAAATTATACATCGTAAAGTCAAACTTAAGGGAAAAACACAGAAATATATATACGCAAAAAAACTAGGGATGTCCCAATCAGGACATTGATTTTGTGTATCTACTTAAACCTGATCTGATATTTCTATAATATATAAAAAAAAGAATAAGAGCGAAGACACTGATCTAGAACGTTCCTCACTTTTTATTTAATTTACTTTATTTTGACATTCAACAGCTCTGTTAACAAAAAGAGCACTTCTGTGAGGTAGCTTGAATAATCAAGTAAAAACATAAATTCTTCACTTTTGGACTTTAGTGCAACAGTAAATATAAAGAAAATCTAATATTAAAACAAATAGCACCTCAACTTTAAATACCCGACAGGCAATCCCAAGTTTACATTTTTCACAATTTGCTCTGGCGTTGTTGTCGTCATCAACTTAGAAAACCTCCAGACCACAGACATACTCGCGCTTTCCGCTTCAAGCTGCTTTCATGTTCTACATGTTCTTCATGTTTCATGTTTAACCAATAGCGTCTCTGCAACAAAGTGATGTCATGCCGCATACGTTGCTGCTTCAGTGTGAAGTCAAGAAAGAGGTCTAACTCTCTACCAGTGCATAACTATAGATGTGTTTAAAAAATAATAACTATATACAGTTGAAGTCAGAATTATTAGCCCCCTTTGAATCTTTTTTTCTTTTTTGAATATTTCCCAAATTATGTTTAACTGAGTCTGATAAGTATGATAATATTTTTTTTTCTGGAGAAAGTCTTATTTGCTTAATTTTTAGCTAGAATAAAAGCAGTTTTGATAAAAAAAAAAAAAACATTTTAAGGACAAAATTATTAGCCCCTTTAAGCTAATTTTTTTTGATAGTCTACAGAACAAACCATCGTTATACAATAACTTGCCTTCTTACCTTAACCTGCCCAGTTAACCTAATTAACCTAGTTAAGCCTTTAAATGTTACTTTAAGCTAACATCCACAGTATTTTATATTGGAGCCAGTCACACTACGGACTCTGCCACTGGGTTCCAGCATGGGTTGAAATGGAATGCGATTCTTGCACCCAAGTATCTTTGCATGGGTTACTATGCTTTTCATTACCATTAAAGACATCAAACTACTCCTCTAACCCTATAGTACTTAATAGTCTTCGAATTTGGTTACAATTTAGAAAACATTTCGGCTTTCAAACAATGTCTAGTTGTCTCCCATATATAAAAACCCTTCTTTCCTGCCCTCTGTCTCAGACCAATCTTTTGTATTATTGCAATTGTTTTAGAGCTTCCGATTCAGTCGCCTGTAGGAGAAATGACTACGATTAATAAACGTCAGAAAACGGTCAAACTACTTGCTCTACAAACAAATGTTTGCATGACTATACCGACCAAGTAGAATATTATAATAGGAAAATATCAGTTTGCAACATCAAACAGCAAAACGAGCAGTTTTTAATGTTTAAAAATGAATGGAAGAGAATGAGACCGGAAGTCTCGATCCAAAAATATTTAAATGGCTGCGTCCGTTCGTTGGCTAAGAATACGGTAAATACAGTACAGAATGCGTTCAGCTTGCCAGGTTGACAAATCTTCCATCGCTAGCAGCGTGACTCTGAAGTGCTGTACTGTATGTTTGCAAGTTTCTCCCCAACACACTCCATATTGTCGACAAAACATTCTGCACCGTCAAAGGGACCCAAAAGCACCCAACAGGCCGAGGAAGATGCTAACCATTGCAAAAAAAGATGAACTTTCGGACATGCTAAATAAACATTAAAGTTACGCAGCTGTTTAAATGAGAGAAAAGTGTGCTAATGTTAATGCATGTTTGAGAACAGTGTATAAGGTGTGTAGTGAGGGGTTTTACAGCCTTAAAACATCTGTAATAATTATAAAAAATAAAGCTGACTACTTCGTAGATTTCATCTTTTGCGTGCTATTTCCTTGAACGTTACTTTCTCGATTAACAATGGCTACTGTATTCCATTTCTTGTAGTATCTTTCTAAGCAAGCATGCAGCAACACCTGTAAATAAGTTTTTTTTTTTTTTTTTTTAAAGTTTAAAACAAAGTTTTCCTTACAAACTTTTGTTCTCTCTCGTTCTCACAGCCCCTCAGACAGCACCCCAGCCGCCCGTCACTCCAAGCACTGTGGCAACCAGGAAGCCGATGGGAGAGGAGGCGGGATTAAGCAGCTCTCAGGGTGATGGAGTGGACAAGCACTGCAGCAGTGAGTACATGCAGAACACAACAGCAAACAACAGCCGCTGTCAGGCTCTGTGCTCGCCGTGTGGCAGCTCTTAAAGGCTAGACTATTTCCAGGTGATCGAACAAGCTGTACTTTGACTCGCTGTGCTGAAACGAGCCTTGCGTGGTCTGACACTTCTGTTAACAGGTCTGGCTGTGAGGTTTCGCAAGGGACAGTGCGATTGTGTGACGGGTGCTTGACCATTTCACCTTATTCAGAGGGCAAGTAAGGGGTCACTGTGCCCCTGATAGACGTCTGGAGTCGCTGGAAAACTCCACAACTTTTAAAGTGGTTGTTATAAGTGACTGGTTGAACTAGAGTTTGATTAGATCACTTAATATATCATGTCTAATACCAGCTGATTGAAATTCTTTATTTATTCATGGAACTTATTGGATGAGAATCACAAGATAAGATTATTTTACATGTGTAAGAATAATTTTAATATATGTATTTTATATTATTATTATTATTATGTTATTATAATGGTCATAATAACTTAATAATAATAGTAGTTAATAATAATAATAATTTTATAATTAATATTTATATATAAAAAACTTTCATATAATGATAAATTATATACCTTTGACAATGTAAATGTTTTAATTGTAAATTTCATCTAGATTTCAATGTTTATATATGAGCAATATCAAACTCGTAGCAGTGTGATATGGCTGTATATCGGCACTGGTGGGAGGCATACTTTGGCTCAAGGCCATAGGCTGAGTGCCTTAGTGTCCCACCAGTGACAATATACAGCCATATTGCACTGCTACGAGTGTGATACTGCATTTATACAACAGTTCCACGGCATAATCGTGTATATAAAAAAGAAAATCAAACACGGAAAGTCTCATGACTCATGAGACTCTCATGACCATCTGAATGAGGAACTACTTCTGCCATTTGTTTACATCTGCAGCTGACATCAGAACAGCAGAAATCGTTGCTACTACACAAACATCACTTTAGAGCTAATATTTAAATGATTCTCTAGCGTAATGTCAAAAGTGATGACAAAACGGGTGATTTTGCTCACATTTTAAGATTATAAGGCTGAACGCTATGAAGTGTTTACAGTCTACAGAGATTTCATAGTATTTCTCTGTTGCAATCGGGAGATCACAATAACTAACCCTGAAAAGCCAAAGTAAAGCAAACACTTGCAGATTACTATGCTATAAATACAGCACTACAACATACAAAAGAGAGAGATCAACTGAAGGTCTTACCTTTTATATAACGATTTGATCAGAGTTTTTCTCCCCTAAGCACTTATTATGTGGTCTATGTCTCCTAGTGACAGACATCAATCGTCTTTGCTCTGCTTAATGACAGGCTGCTAGCCGCCGACATGCTGAATCTCCAAAATTATAAATATTAAAAATATGCACTTTCCTTATAAATAAACTGTATAGCTGCAATTTAATAAACTGCATTCACCTAAAAAAGCCTCAAAAGAACATCATACTGCAGTATTCCTCAAACTGTGTTAAGCTTATTTCTTTGCTTGTCATATGAGCGGAGTAAAGCTGCAGCCACACTGCACTTTGCTCCCAATTGACTTCCATTCATACGCAAGTGAATGCGTCATGCCGGAAGTGCAAGCTCATACGACAAGTTTCGCAGTTCATTGCGTTGGAAAGTTCAAGCTTGGTGAACTCTGACCTGCGAAATCGCATCATGTGATTGCGTGAGACCGCGTATATATATATATATATACACACACATTTATGCTCTGAGAATATTGTGGATAGAAAATTATTTGACTTAATACGTACAAATTAAAAGCTAAAATATAGACGGGTAGTTCCATGAGTTGTATATATTTTAAATATTACTTATGTGACATATGCAAGTAGTACTTATACGCACTGTATATGTTTAAAACAAATTTAGAGCAGATTTTTCTGCAAAATAGCAATAAATTAAATATTTGCTATTCTATAAAATCACTTGTCAAATGTCTTTTTGCTCACCCTATTTTAAATGTTTAACATTCCTCTGATATCATCAGGTTGGTTTTCAAACCTTTAATTAATTAGCTTACTGATAATTATGAATGCCATGCGAAATCACATCAGTGTTCCAGACATAGTTTTATATCGGAGCAAATGCAAAACTCTTCAGTTCTTTTCGTGCATCAATGTCAAGTAAAATAGATCATTTATTGCTTTCAGACAGCTTGTTTAGTACAACTAAATGGCTTTTATAAATTCTTTAACAGCTTGGCATCTCTCTGGACCGCTGTTGTTCTTCCATGAAATTCAAAATATTCCTTTCTCAAGTGTTCTTTACAAGAATTACTAAAACATGGAGTAAAAATGTTAAATATGATTTTGGATTGATTTTCACATAGCACACTACATGAAGAATGTAGAAATACAATAGCAAATGTATTACATATTGTTAATCACGCAGAAACAGTTAAAGCATGTTTATTAAGCAGCCTGTCGAGTTTCAGATTTTGAGCTTGTTGGCTTCTGAAAAAGGTTTTTATTTTCTGTATAATGTAAAGAAAATAAACTAAACTTATTTATTTTGTCTCTATTAATTAGTTTGTGTTTGTAGATTTCAGATGAGCCCATTGGTCCACAAGTTCACAAACCCATGAGTCCACAAAGTTGGGGTCACAAGGTTAACAAAGGTTAAACAACATGGTGCAATACGTGAAAATTACAGTTGCGCTGGTCTGAAAACAGCAACAAATCACTCGATAAACCTCTTGCGGGTGCATGATAGGGCTTCTGCTGTGCATATACCCCATACTGTAATCTTATATTTCTTTTTATAGTTTGTCAAAATAGGCAATAAGAAAAATCCATCTCTTCCGAGTTTTAGCGCGCACACATCCATCACTGTTGTCCTGCATTCCCCGTGTCATTGATATGCACAGAAGTGAATAATCCAGAACTGACGCAGGTGTTGCGAGCGTAACTTTTGGCCAACATCAGAGCAATGCCCTCTGGTTGCACTCCCTCACCGCCGTCCCGCTTACCACAAAAACACCAGCCAGGTCAGTCCTCTCCTGTGGCCTGTCCAGCAGATGGAGAGGGATGCTGGGAAGGCTCCAGGGCCACACGGGTCAGAAAAGTACTATGGGCAGCTACTTTGTGTTGGATGCGCCTTACAGCAGCATCTGGGAACACGTTTTATCACATTTGCTCTCACATCTCGGCTTCAGAAAGGCTTTTAGCTCAGCCTCAGAAGAGCTCTTTTTGGAGGAGTGGCTTGTTTAAACCCATCGTGCTCCACGTTGCCAGATTGAGCTGTAATGGCGTGAATTGCTGAGAGCCGGCTTTACCACCCCTGGCGCCATAAGCAAGTCGGTTCTTGCAGCTTTGCCAGCGTGCACTCATTAGTTTGCAGAGAAGTCATCGGATGGCAGTCGCGGGATGCTTCCGCATGCACTTTGGGGAGGATAATTAACAGCTATCTGTAATATAGTGGCTCTTATGGACATTCTGACTTGTGCATTCTTGCTACTGGAAGTTTGTTTATTTTTAAGTTGTTAAAATTACGTTTTTATTTAGGAGTCAACTGAGAGTTGATGGTTTAATGATGTCATAAATAGCTGGCTCACAGTAGGAAACAAAATGTTTGCTTAGTTTTACAGTATTAAATCAGAATTTATTGGAATTGTTCGCTAACTTGCAAAACAAATAATAATAATAATAATAATAATAAAGTATTTTTTAATGTAAAATTCATGCCATTAACAAACCCCATGCACTTTGGGACGATAATTAACAGTTCTCTGTAATATAGTGGCCCTTATGGACATTCTGACTTGTGCATTCTTGCTACTGAAAGAGCTTGTGGTTTATTTTAAAGTTGTTAAAATTATTATTTTTTATATTAGAGTCAACTGGGAGTTGATGGTCTAATGATATTATAAATAGCAGGCTCACAGTAGGAAACAAAATGTTTGTTTAGTTTACAGTATTAAATGGGATTATATTTAATCCAATTTATTGTTTGCTTATTGGAATTGTTCGCTAACTTGCAAAAAAATAAATAAAAATAATAATAAATCTTTTTAATGTACATTTCATGCTATTATAAACCAAATGTGCTTTGTGAAGATAATTAACAGCTTCTGCTGCTGGAAGAGCTTGTGGTTTATTTTAAAGTTGTTAAAATGATTTAAATTTTTTATTTTTGAGTCAACTAGGAATTGATGGTTTAATGATATTATAAATAGCCGGCTCACAGTAGGAAACAAAAGGTTGAGGTCGTTGGCTTGGTTTACAGTGTTAAATAGGATTATATTGGAACTTTTTTTTTATTGGATTTTTGGTTCAGTTCTTAGTATCTGAAACTTAAAACAAATAATAATAAGAAATTTGAATTTTATTTTGATGTACAATTCATGTTATTAACAAACCATTAAGACATTTAGTTAAATAAACTACTAATTAGCTGCTTATTAATAGTTAAAATGTTCAAAGAAAATTCAATGAAATCTTTATTTTAATTCATTTCATTTTCCAAAAAACTAAAGATGGCATGAATTAAAAAAAGTTAATTATTCTGAATTTGTTTTAAAAGAGTATGTAAATATAAAATAAATCATTGTTCTTTGTTTTACTGTTCTAAAAGAAATATAATATAGTATAAATGTGTACATAACATTATACAAAGTTCAGCCGTGTCGTGTTAACTAAACTAGAAAGTGAAACTAAACAATAAAAAAAATATTAAATAAATTACTTTTGAAATAAAATAAATATAACTCCGAAACAATAATAGCCTTGTTTTGCATTCTGTTTTAAAAATACATACATGTATGTTCAACAAAGGATCTGGGTTGTTAAAAGTTGTACTTAGAATTGTACTTAGTATAAATTCTCCACAAGAATCTCCAAAAAATACCATTGTAAAATACAATAAAAATAATTTCTTTTATTATATCTTTCCAGTCACGTATAAGAAATATGTTCCTAGAGAGATGAGATTCTTTTTTCATCACATTGAAT